GTTTTATTAAAACACTAATTACAACAGACACAAACGTGAATATTTGCCACTGCACATTTAAACCCGGCCCACGTCTAAATCTACCCTTTGAATTCCTGGCTCTTAACAGATTAAATTTTCAGCGGTCCGTATACTCAAATTTCAAATGAAATTACTCATTTCAGCACCGTCGGGGACGGACCGTGTGTGATGAACTTTAACTCCGTCGTTTCTCATTAGTGTAGCTATTTTTCGTGCTAATTCCACTTGAAAATCTGGCACCGCAACGATTATTATTTTTAATTGTAATAGAAGAAAAGTCGATTGAAGATTTGAATCGAAATAAGCATTTTTGTGTTCGTCTATACTATTTATCGAGTTTTGGTCTATAGGCGTCATTTAAAATAACTAAATACAGTTTAATGAAAACTCCAACAGCGCGACAATTGGTACGAGAATGAAGTGAAGTCGCCAGAACTGTCCAGGCTGAACTGTCTACTTGTGATATATATCTGTAGTTCAGTCAGTTAGAGACATGGACTTAGATGACAATAATAAAAAGTCTTACGTCGTGTTTCAAGATTAGTGCTGGTTTGATGTTGTAACTGTACTATTTAGCTGATAAGCATAGAACAATTTCGTATCGTTACAAGAATAAAGTTCCTACAGAAAAGATGTAAGTTTATATTATAAAAGTGGTTTTACACATTAGCATTTCAATTTACATCGGCCCTTGATACTCGTTTACTGTTTTATGACGAACCCCTCCGTTCCCCGAATCCTATAAATAAAAAATATTGTAGTAGGACACTGGTAGTATCAGGAAGGTGGCCTAACCAAATCGCTGAGGTAGAAGCCCCTTTCAAACCTCAGAATCTCGTAGTACTTACGAGATTGGACTTCTGCCGTTGGGCCTTCTTCCGCATATCTTGCCTGTTACCAGCAGCTTCTCTAAATTGTCACCTCTCTTTCTGGCAATGTGTTCAAATAACTCAAAACTCCTCCGAGCTCATATAGTGCTGAAGCACATCGGAATGCCACAGGGGGATGTTAGCTGGGCCACCACTAATAACAGCAGATGTTTTCGCGAAGGGGGTCTCTAATTCACCTCGTATATTTTTATTTAAAAACAATCTTCCGTCCCCGTCACGTTCCACACAAAGAGGCAAGCACAAAGCAAATTACGAGGCCTTTAAACGGAATTTCCTCGTGATAAATACCTTGGAGCCTCCGCCGTCACGGGGATAGCTAAATGTGTTTTTGTCACGATAATATTGTGACCCGTAATGACCAAACAAACATATTTTTGTTTTTGTTTAATTCGATGACAGCTTGTGGTTTAGATTTTGGATTTAATATACAGCTAAATATATTAATACGTGAAGCAAAAACTTTGTATCCCTTTTTACGAAAATTGCGCAGACGGAGGAGTATGTATGAAATTTTCCACACTTATAGAGAATATAGAGAAGAAGTGGACAATGCTAATATTTTTTTTAAAATAATGCATAAAAGATACATTAAATCAATAAAGAAAACATTACACACACTACATACCATGTATTTGACGCACACTCGCATGCATACTATTTATTGTCAAACTTTTGTTCTTGGCGTCTGTTGTCAAATTGAGAATAGAATAATATTGTTTGCCTTTGTTAATATTTTTTATAGTGTAGTCTTGGCGAAATTTGTGATTATAGAAGTATAAAATACAATCATAATAGTGTACAAACCTACAATTCCAATTAATTATAGTCGAATTTCGACTACTGCGGGTCCTCTAGTACAGCTAAATGATCATGCGGCAGGGTAGTGACGTTAACACTTTATGTGGGAACGCCAAGTGTTGTCAATGATATTCAGAAAATTTGTATTCTACGTACGGCAGGGAGTTTTATTGGGCATTCTTTAAAATACTAGACACGCTAGACGTTTTCATGCTGAAACTACATTATTTTGAAAGGTTTTGGTTTTATATTTCCACTTTTCATTTTCTTGATGTCTCAATCAATGTAACGAAAATCTCCAGACTCAAAGACGGTTGATTGTCTTGAAAATTGAGAGACGCGTGAATGGCGCAGTCACAGATATCACTACAAATTTTATTATATTCGTCTAATATCTTGACGAGGGTCACAGAGGTGAAAACAACGTAATTTTGGGCTAGGCTTGCTATTCTGGTGCGGTTTAAGCATCCCCACACGCTATGGATACAAGGTCCAATTGCATTACTATTCTACCCTTGAAATCGAAGTTGACAGTGATTAAACCACATCAGAAACTAGCAGAACTGTGGCACAAACTAATATCTTGACCAGGGTCACAGAGGTGAAAACAACAAAATTTTGGGCTAGGCTTGCTATTCTGGTGTGGTTTAAGCATCCCCACACGCTATGGATATAAGGTCCAATTGCATTACTATTCTACCTTTGAAATCGAAGTTGACAGTGATTAGACTATATCAGAAACTAGCAGAACTGTGGCACAAACTAATATCTTGACCAGGGTCTACAGGTGAAAACAACGAAATTTTGGGCTAGGCTTGCTATTCTGGTGCGGTTTAAACACCCCCACTCGCTGTGGATACAAGGTCCAATCGCATTACTATTCTACCCTTGAAACCGAAGTTGACGCTGTTGACAGTGATTAGACCACATCAGACACTAGCCGAACTGTGACACAAACTATTTGGGGTTCAAAATACGCCCTACTTTCATTGAACCAAACCAGCCTTTAGGTTAAGGTAGTTTTGATGTTAATTTAGAGTTTTTGTTTTATTATTGTTATTATTTAATTTTGATTTTTTGTTTTTTATCATGGCTTTTGTTTTATTCCAAGATTGTAGTTATTATTTTTATTTAATTCTGGTATACTATATGAAATGTTAATGGATGCAAAATCTGAAGTGAATGAAATAAAAAAATTAAAAAAAAACAAAATTGCCTAAGCCAGGTATTAATATCACGCTTGCTTTAAGAGCAGGGAGCCCATGCCCGGCAGTGGTATTCGCCTCGAGGACCATTCCGTGTCCCTGTAAGAGGGTACGAGGACTCTTCTTGTCTTGGTATTATTCAAAGAGCGTTTGCGAAGGATAAGGTGTCGATACTAATACGCAGATAGCTACGGCTATGTCGTTCTTATTTATTTATATATATAATGTATTATTTTATTTACATCAAAATACAGTTTAGCTTTGTAAAACTATAGCATTTGAGTTGCTCTTATAAAGAGAAACAACATTTAAAGCTATTGCTTCATCACTTTTGTATGTTTTTTATATTTCAAAATCCTAAATTGCTTTCATATTTCTAATGTTCCTTCGTCTGATCTTTCAATATCAAAATTCTATTTATGTCACATATTAAATATTAAATAAATATAAATATTAAATATTTACTAACAATTACGCCACGTTAACTGGTCCCGTGGTAAGTTCGTAAAGAACTTGAGTTACAGGTACCAGATAACGGAAATAAATATAAGATTTTTATTATACATATACATAATATATTTAATATACATCCATAACCCTGGAAAAGACATTGTATATTTTTCATACAAATATCTTCCCTCGGCGGGATTCGAATCCGCGACTCCCTTGTGTAGTGACCATGTCACTTACAACTACACCAGACGGCCGTCATCTTTATAAAATATTAACTTCTTTTAAGATAAATCGTATAGAGGTTACATATTTTGTATTTATTTTTATTTACTTCAGATTTTGCATCCATATTATGAATATAAATATAACGTATTCGAATAAAAAATATATTTAAATCTACTTAATCATACGTAAGATGTTGTCTATAAATGTTGTTAGTTCATTATTTTTCTCCAACCGAATGTTACTTATTAAAAATCATTTGAGGGGTATTATAAATGTTTTTTTTTTGCTTAGATGGGTGGACGAGCTCACAGCCCACCTGTTGTTAAGTGGTCACTAGAGCCCATAGACATCTAAAACCGTAAATGCGCCAACCACCTTGAGATTTAAGTTCTAAGGTCTCAGTATAGCTACAACGGCTGCCCCACCCTTCAAACCGAAACGCATTACTGCTCCACGCCAGAAATAGGCGGGGTGGTGGTACCCACCCGCGCGTACTCACAAGAGGTCCTACCACCAGTAATTACGAAAATTATAATTTTGCGGGTTTGATTTTTATTACACGATGCTATTCCTGAATTTCCCAGGTAGTAACTAGAAGACAAGTCCCGAGCATTGTCCCTGGGGCATGGCGAGAACTAATTTTAGATTTACAACGACGGCTCTATGAAATGTTTCTTGCCAATTCTTCTTAGCTAGTTCTATTGACGCCTGTGAAGGCCTAATTAAAAAAAAAAATACTAAATAACAAATTTCAATGAAAGATCCGTGGAGATGTTTCTAATTGATGGTCGGGCCAGCCGTTGTACTGTAAAAACGGAGACTTAGAACTCATCTCTCAAGAGGGTGGCGACGACGCTGATGCATATTTATGGGCTCCGGTGACCGCGTAACACCAAGTAAGCCGTGAGCTCGTCCACCCATCTTAGCAATAAAACAAATATACAAATCATTTGCAAGTATTTATCTACATAGTTTACTGGTGGTAGGACCTCTTGTGAGTCCGCACGGGTAGGTACCACCTCCCTGCCTATTTCTGCCGTGAAGCAGTAATGCGTTTCGGTTTGAAGGGTGGGGCAGCCGTTGCAACTATACTGAGGCCTTAGAACTTATATCTCAAGGTGGGTGGCGCATTTACGCTGTAAATATCTATGAGCTCCAGTAACCACAGTTGGGCTGTGAGCTCGTCCACCCTTCTCAGCAATAAAAAAAAAAAAATAATGTAAAAAATGTCAGTAGTCGCGAGTCGTAGAATTAAACTATTTTTACGGTTTAATTAATCCAGTTATGTGGTAATAAGTCTTCCGTGACCACGAAAACTAAAGTATTCGAAGCGTCAGCAATAATAAACGAGATTGATCTGTAAAATTAATTTTGATTCTACAATTGCAGATATTACAACTTCACTTACCGAAATATTAATTCAACAGCTAATCACAGTTGCCACTGCATTCGAATCTGAAACAATTAATGGAGTTTCAAATATTATTGGGATAACAATATTAATTTAGTTCTATTTATGAGTATAGTATAATATGCATATTATATCTCTTATTTTTTAGGAGGAAAAAGGGAAAGAATCTTATGACCCGCCTATTGTGACGTATGTTTTCCAACTTAATCGCTGTGGGCCTAAGGGTTATTCTAGCTACGCTCGGACGAGCAGGTGAGCTCACGGGGCTCAGACCTGACGCTGCTAACACTAGGCCTATCAAGAGTAGTGCTTCGCTGAATCTACTAGAATCAGAATCGAAACGCATTGTGAAGATCCGGCGAGAAACTCAGTGAGTTATGTCTATGTGAAAAGTCGTTACTGAAGCCAAGACACCAGAGCTGGTATATTTCTGATTTTTTTTTAAAATAATTATGTCCTGTGTGGCATGGAGACCATGGCTGGATAGAAGGATTCACCCCAAGGCCCGTCCCATGCCCCCACCCCGTATGGAAGAATGACGTCCCCGGCAATAAAGGTAATACTACTACTACCGAGCTGGCGCTATGACCCCGAAGTGGGTCTTGGCCTCCGACAATAAACTTTGCCATTCATCCCGGCGCTCCGCAACACCTTGCCAGTCCGACACTTGGAGCTCCCGTAAATTTTCTTCCACAGCGTCACACCAGCGGTACTTGGGCCTCCCTACGGGGCGGCGTCCCTCCGGTACACCCGTCTACACCCGTTTCACAGCCCGATCCTGCTCCATACGTACTACATGTCCGAGCCATCCGAGCCTCCGTTTTTTTACATGAAGGGGCTGACAACCCCTTCATGTAAAAAAACTTTTGTTACGAAGCCGACAAGAAAACAGAAACGATCCGATCCCATAAACGACGACCCAAGGCACGGAATAACGGAAAACCGATTTGCTTCATGGAATAAAGGTAATAGTTTTGTGAATAAGTTTTGTCAATATTACATTGGTATCATGTTTTTTTTTATTGCCCGTGTAGGCAGACGAAGCATACGGCCCACCTAATGGTGAGTGGTTACCGTCGCCCATGGTCTTCAGCAATGCCAGGGGCAGAGCCAAGCCGCTGCTTACCGTTGTAATGTCACATTTATAGTATCAGAAAAATTATCTAACAGAAAATCGTTAGAACAATCCGAAAATACATACTATCAATTCGTGAAAGATTTGAATAAAACCCGTTTTGTATAAAAAGGCTTTAACAATACGATTTAAAAGGCGGTTGAAGTTAAAATTTTAACAATACGTAGTGGCGGCTTTGTGTCCGCAGTTGCAGTTTTACAAAGAGAATATTGTGAATGTGACATCAAATTAAAGTATCTAGAGCAGGCAACCAGTAATGAGATTACTGGTGGTAGGACCTCTTGTGAGTCCGCGCGGGTAGGTACCACCACCCTGCCTATTTCTGCCGTGAAGCAGTAATGCGTTTCGGTTTGAAGGGTGGGGCAGCCGTTGTAACTATACTGAGACCTTAGAATTTATGTCTCAAGGTAGGTGGCGCACTTACGTTGTAGATGTCTATGGGCTACAGTAACCACTTAACACCAGGTGGGCTATGAGCTCGTCCACTCATCTAAGCAATAAAAAAAAAGTTTAGCAGCGCGCTGAATATTGTACAGTGGTAACCGCTTTTTGGTGTTGCCTGAAAACAGCATCATTCTATCTCTTTAGCTAATTGCCTTAGCACTAAGATAGGCCGTGCGCGCATCAACCTTAGAGCATGAAAGAAAAGCATCAACATTTGACTGACTGGCTGGTGCAGTAGTTAACGCAAAAGACCATTGCGCCGAGGGTCGTGGATTCGATCCCCTAATCGGTCTAGTATTGTGTGATGAACAGGTCTGTTTGCTCTTTGCCGGGCGTTTATTTTTTATATATGTATAAATTTAAACATAAGTATGTTTATCAGGCTCTGGTACCCTTAACACAGGGAATTCTATATTGAGGCTGGATGACCGTGCGGGATTTTTTGCCGGTTTTTATTATTAATACAGCATATTGCGATTTGTAAGCTCGCCCGTCCAAAATTCTTTAGTTATAATTCGTTTCTAGATGCTGCCTCATTGACGCCAAGAAGGATTAATTTCGGGCTCTCCAGCCATAAACTCCCTACATCCTTTCCCATATATGGTCGACCTCCGACGTCATGCTTGCCTGCAACAACTATAAAACGCCCAGCTTTTTTTTCTTAATTATCAAAATTATATACGACTAGCTGTGCCCGTCCGCTTCGCTGGGCTTTTAAAATTAACGTTATTATTTCTCACCCCCACAAAGATCTCATCATTAACGCCCCCGCAACTGGTGTGGGGAGTCCAACACTCATATAAATATTAGCCTATCCATTAAGTACATGTATTTTCTACATCGATACCAAGTTTCAAGTCAATCGGATGCATGGTTCAGCAGTTATAACGGACCACTGTAGATTTATATATTAGTACTTGTTGACCCGGCAGACTTCGTAGTGCCTCAATCGATAAATAAAAGACTTTTTTTATTGACTTAAGAAGTTTTGCATAAAATAAATTTAAAACAAAAGGAATCTGTCCGACGGGGGACACATCAAAGGAAAAACAAAATTGTTATTTTTATTTAATTCCGAGCATTTTCATATTTATCTACCTTTTAAACTCCTGGACTTCCACAAATAATTCAAGACCAAATTTTGCCAAATCGGTCCAGCCGTTCTCGAGTTTTAGCGAGACTAACGAACAGCAATTCATTTTTATACATATAGATAGATAGATAGATGATTCACAGTCACTTCCATATAACATAGAAAAGCCTCAAATATAGGATAGTGGTTGCCCAAATATAAGACTATACTAATGTTCGAGGTTCGAAAATACGAAGGTTCGAGAACTGTTTCTCAGAGAGTTAGCAAAGTGTTCTAATTGATAATATTTGTTTATATATGTTTTTATATGTATATATTTATGATATGCATATCTATATATTTATGTATATGTATTTATTTAAGTACGAGTATTTGTATCTATAAATATTATGTATGTTATATATACACATATGTTTAAGTAATATCACCTTCACACTACACCTACCAAGCTTCATCTCTGCACTCCCCTAAGGTAGACTGTTAGAGAATGCCTATGGCATTAAGTCCGCCTTTATACTTTCTAGTATAAGAAGTTATAAATAAATAAATAAATAATGAATATTTGCCATATTCAGTGGTACATCGAACCACGTTGATATCCGTGTAGTGGGCCAATTTCAGTTGAACATTGGTTGCGGAATCCACGCGGACACGCCGTGTCGCCGGAATCCGTCGACTTTGCCTTTGACAGACATTTTAATGACAAAACATTTTTTTATGTAGTGCTGCGATTACGCTGCTAACGAGCTTGTGAGAAGTTGAATTGAGCTAGGATGTAATAAAACATTTTACTGGAAGCAGATTTCGAGGAAGATACGAAGGCTAATTTAAAAAAATTGTATGGAATCTTCAAGAATGGTTGGCTACAGTAATATTTATAACTAGCAGGATAATTGTACGGATTTCTGATGGAGTTTTTAACTTTTTTAAGGAATGAGTTCCTTCCATTTCTACATATTTATAAGAATTTTGCTGAATCGTATTTTTTTATAAAAAAATTTATACGAAAATACTTGATCTCTTTATTAAGATAAAAGAAAAGAAAAGAAAAAAGGTCTCTCTTAAGCTGCTCTTACTTAATATAAGGTATTGTAAGCCCGCACAGGTATTGACAACAACTCTGCCTATTTCTACCTCCAAGTATTCATGCATTCCAAAGTTCGACCTCACGTTTCAAGATTTCACTTTGTGACGTCAACGTTACCAACGGTGAGATGTGAGCTCCCAATTTTTTTTTATTGCTTAGTTGGCGGATAAGCTCACTGCCCACCTGGTCTTAAGTGGTTACCGGAGCCCATAGACATCTACAGCGTAAATGCCGCTATCTATCTTGAGATATGAATTCTAAGGCCTAAGTAATTTGTACAGTACAACGGCTACCCCAGCCTTCAAACCGAAACGCATTACTGTTTCACGGCAGATAGGCAGTGTGGTAGTACCTACCCGTACGGACTCACAAGACGTCCTACCTCCAGTAATGAAAGTTATATTTACCTAATTTACCTCTATACTTTAGTAACGTGTAATCTTTATGAATGACTCTGGCAATGACATAATTATTGGCGATAAGGCATGTTACGATGTCCCGTATTTTCGCTGTCAGGGATCTTCCGCTCCTAATCGAAGGATTCCACACCTAGAGGCAAGCCTTGTTTAGTTATTGGACAGCAAACCGCCCTGGCCTATAGAATAAAATGCCCGCTGTTTCTCGACCATGCCGAAAAGAATTTAATTGGTGTTTATTTTATTTTTATTTATTTATTAAGTTGCACCAACAAAGTGATCATCAATACAAAACATTGAACAATTGACAAAAGTTCATGGCAGATATCACCTCAATTATAGGTGCAATCGACAGTGCATTAACATAAAATATATATATATCTATAGCTAAGATTTGATTACATTTCATTCATTGCTTAAGATTAATTTATATTTAATTGGGAGATGATCCGCGACAGATTTTTTTTTCCTGTAAGTTGTGAGTGTTCTTGAACGGCTTCTACGATGAACGACAAAGAAACCTTTTTTGACGTGACAACGTCTTATAATTCGATGGAGCCGGCTGCACGCACGAAAAAACATGACTCATGCGGCGTTACCTCGCTCTGAGGCGTTCCATTTAAGGCTTGAAGTGCAAGCGAGAGCGCGCAACGAGCGACAAAGAGGCACAATCGGCCTCCGCGTTCGGCAGCGTTCGACATCTGTCTCTCTCTTACTTGAGTGAGCGATGCATCCGCGTGGACAGCTGCTATACATACATTTACATGTTTTCGTCAAGTATGAAGTTCAGTGAAAGGTGAATATTGTGGTGTCAATTGTTTATAGCAACGATAATTGCGATTATTGAAAAAATACTTACTAAAATCACT